CATACATTGACTCTGTTGTCATCCAAACCCATGACGACTCAGACCTTCTTTCGTCCTCGGTGTCTATGAATCAATTCAGCACCAAGTCGGAGTCCGAATGGATTGATGAAGAGGAAGTTGTTGACAAGAAACCCGTGGAGGAGGCTTCCCCGATGAAGGCACCATCAACTCCGGAAGCCAAGCCTCCCTTACTCCAGATGCGACGACTCCTACCGCACCGGAAGCGAAACCGCTAATTACTCCAGAGTCGAAGGCTAAGGTTTCGCCAACAGCGAAGCAACAGTCTCCCGCTGCGAAATCTGGCACCTGCCGCGCGTTTTCGTCGTCGGTAGACTCAGCACGTCAAGCCCTGGTTCCCGAAGACGCAGAGCGATACCGCCATTGCTCGATTCCCAGGCTGGTTCTGCGAATGCTCAGATTCGTATGGAGCTCGAGTCATTAAGAGCTCGCAAGAAGGTCCAGGAGGGGGTGACGGAGTTGAGCGATAAGAAGAAACTTTGACGTTTGTAGCGTATCCGGATATATGGTAAACGCGATAAATGACGGGTCAATTGTCGCTGAGCCTGTGTACAAACAAATCATGGAATGTCGTTTTGAGTTTGGATATTACATTCAATGTATTACTACCCCTTCACTGCCCTTGTTTGCATTTTTGTTTCACTTTTTACTTGCAACACGCTCTATACTGTTTTCATAATCATCCAATCAAAACTTACAAACACCAAGTGAAGCTACGGGAGTATCGAGAGATCTAAATAGTGATGTAATAGATATGAGCTGCCAAGGACAAGAAATCCCTTGATTTCTTGGGTTTGGGGGGGGAGAGAACTCGGCTTTGAGAGAACTGTGAGTTGAGCAGAAGGGAGACCGGCAATGAAACCAGTCCGGAGATGGATACCGGGATGCAGAGATGCCGGAAGCTCAAACTCGTAGCAGTGAAGCCGAGGACTCAGTTGTTCGGGGAAACCTGAAATCTGAGCAAACCGAAAAGACGTAGCTGCACGTCAGACCAGGCGCTACCCAAACAAAGAAGGGAGTAGGTGGGGTGGGTCAAAAGAGAGCGAAGAAACGGCGGAGCGACTGAAAGGAGAGAGCGGAGAGAGAACGAAGCGAAAATACACTTGCACCGAATAGCGCAAGACGATCGCGTTGTTTGGCTGCCTCCGCTTGAGCCAAATAACTGGGGAAATGCGACGAAGCGCTGGGGCAAAGGGGGATCTCTCTGATCACTACGCTTTACTTGGCCAATCACAGAGTTTGAGCCGTTCGTTCCTCACGTCAAACTTGTGTGGCAAAAAGGTACCTGTTTCTTGCTGCCAAACTATAAATACACTTTAATGTTGAATGCGCAAGTAGAAATCTCACATATGACATGTGCTGACATAGTGTTGCAAAGCGGATGTAAAATGAATTATTACCAGATGCTTCCTACCGATGAAGACGTCTTAAGCCCCCTTGGGCTGCCCGATGCTGGAACTACCACCAGTTCCATAATATATGCCAACTGGGCGCACCTTCCAGAGTGGATCAAGGAGGTGTTGGGTGATAATTGGTACATAATCGCGAAGTCGGGGTATGTCGGTGTGACAGAGGCGAGCACAGATGCATGCTGGTGGCTGGAACGTAAAGGAGCAAAGACAAGCACCTCGACAATGATCAGTATTAATGTCCACGTCGCGTCGCAGCTAGATGCCGACGGGGTCTTGGACATGGCTGCTTCTAAACAGGCCGCACGTCGCTGCCTTGCAGGAATCATCACCAGCACTTCTCGCGATATCAAGGACGTATGGACTCGCGGAGGGCTTGATGAGTTTGGCGAGTGTTCCGTGCAGGACCTAGATGGTAGTCGTTTTGTCCTCGTTGCAGGTCAGACGGTACTGGATATACGTGATCGTGGGATGGATTTGACTGCAGAGGTTTTTGAAGGTTATGCCCGCAAGCTGTTGGAACATACAGTTCGCAGGGATAGTCCACTGCCCCTGACTGCACCCATCATCAAGCGTGGCCCATTGTTATCCCTGTCCGACAAATACGACCTTGAATCGCGCCCGAAAAACATCCAGATTCGTTCTGTCGTTCCACGATTTTCTCTTTGGTTTGAATTGAGAGGGCCCATTGCTGTCGCCGATGCCACTGTCGAGGGATCTGCTGACGATATTTCACTTGAAAGTCGTGTAGTTGAAGAGGACGTTAGGGTGAGGTTTACATTTGCGGTTGCAACACCGGGACACCATCTTGTTGAGGTGCATGCGCACTTTGCAGACTCGGAAACAATGGTTTTGACGTCACAGATGTTTGAGGTTGAACTCTTATACACGAGGCGCATGTGATGAATTAGCACATCGATCTATTTAAATTTAATTATCTTTAATGTACTCTACTATTGGTCACCATTTTGATACAAATTCTCAATGAACCCCTGCAGCCGCATTCCCTCCTCCCAGCAACAATATTGGCCTGGGATGTCAACATATAAGATTGTTGCACCATGAGTATGTCGACAGTCCATTCTCAATGCAACGATTCAATAGGCAGAACACCGCCTTGCTACCACTATTAAGAAAGACCAGCATTGAGTTTTCTGGGAGATTAGGGTCGAATATCGACTGTTCCTTGGTGCGCGTTGTCCTGATTTTTGGTGGGGTTTCTTTTTGATTGTGACTTCAGTCTCGCCCGTGCAATACAGCGTACAGCTGTCGCAACCAGACCAGAAACCAGAGCATAATCTGGAACCTAATGGTGACTTCGGTTAGCGATACTCTGTCGTATCCGAATCTGAATATATTCATATTCATCACCTATCATACTTCTGAACACAATCTGAACCTAGTTCTGTTCCTTCTTCACCTTACTAGCAACGAACTGGCACCTAGCCACCTCTTTCTCATCAGCGAGTTCAACAAAACTCCCACTCATCGTCGTAGTGTCTTGTTGCAAAACAATCTGCCTTTTTTCGCCCAAGGAGAAGCGATCCCAGACGGGTGATCGCTGCAGCTTGAAAGTATTTGGATCTTTCGCCCGTACGAAGGAAAGCCAATACGCGATCAGCTCCTGTGAAAAAGCCGTTTCCTCTGGCGTCATTGAGCTGAACGTCGCGGAACCATTGTACCTTGACCTCGCGTCAGTTCAAGGGAGGGTCAGAGAAAGAGGGTGTACTTACCCTGTATTGCTGCCTAGGAACATCATCCAATTCTCCGCCCCGTGAGCGACGATGGTAGGATTATCACTCGTCGGATTGGGTTGGTTGTATCGGTAGGCCCACGTATCGATTCCTTTGCTGGAATATGCACTGGCCAGTATTTGCCGCTTTTTGTGGAAGAGTATGTCAATACAACCGACAACTTTAAGCACTTGAATGTACTCACACAACATCGATTCAAAGATTCGCCTGTCGCTGCGGCCAGTCTTTGTTCTTCAGAGTCAAAGTCCGAAGATGGGTACGCCTGAAGGGTTGGGTTCAAAAGAGCCACCAGGTCGAAAGTCACTCACGAAGAGGTAATCACTGGTGTCTTGTTCATCTAGTCCCGGGAATAGGATTTTCAAGGATGACGGTATATCGTACCCCAGAACATATGATTCGTTAGAATCGGCGCTAGCTTTGTTCAAGTCCTCATTTTGAGAAGGATACGACAGCACTTACCCGACGATAAGAGGGACGCGGGCGAAATGACCCAAACCCAGAGACGCTGTTGGGAATTCGGTGAAGGTTTTGCCGTCCATGACAGGATGAAAGGCGTTGTATGGACCAGCACTGACAGAATCTAAGTAAGACAGTTGGAAATGTGGTTAAAAATGAACGTACAATTCACCACTTGCTGCTGCATCTTGTGCATGAGCAAGAGCGCTCACGTTGGCTTGTCTCAGGCATTGTAACTTGGAAGAAAGGCTGCCAGTTCCGCATCCTGCTCGCTCGGCATAAAAGTCGAACAAGGGCTATGAGCAGATCAGTCAAAGCACTGACGGTTAGGTAATGAGATAACCTACCCGCTGCTGCTCGGGGAATGGAAGAGGGGTCCTATAAGCGCTCTGCACGATAGCACCGGAGAACAGCGATTCATCTTCATGCGCAACGAGATGGAGTTCCACTGAGGCTCCTCCTGCGCTCTGCCCGTTGATAGTCACCCTCGATGGATCCCCGCCGAACGCTCGTATATGTCGCTTGACCCATATGAGGGCCTGTGTCTGGTCAAGAAAGCCTACATTGAAGTCTCCGTTGGCGGTGTCTGAGAATTCCGGGATAGCGAGGAACCCAAAGGACGAAAGACGGTAATAGATGGTGACGATGACGACGTTAAGGCTTTGATGGACCCAATGGTCGAATGGAAAGGTGGCCGGGTTGCCGTAAACGTAGGATCCTCCATGGATGTAAACAAGTACGGGTACTAGAATGGCGTCGTTAGCAATGTTTCGCATGTTGTCGAGATGCCTACAATCGTTTCCATTGACGGGTGAATAAATGTTAACATTCAAACAGTCTTCACTGCCTGCGCCTCCTGCGTCACCGACTGAAATATAAAATGGTGCCTCAGACTCAGAACTACTTGAAAGGACTAGCGTGTGGCATACATACCCAGAGTAGACCCCTGGACACAAAAGTTGGGGTAGGATGTCGCGTCGAAGATAGCACCGTTCGCTTCTAGTGCGATTCGCGCAGTGTTCAAAGGGATGAGTGCACGAAACCGACGGTCACCAAGAGGAGGTTCTGCATAGGGGATACCAAGATATGCCACAGTGTCTGGGTAGGAAAGGTTGCCACGGTACTTTGCGTATCCAGTATCGACGATGAGCCTACCGTTCGCGAAAACAAAAAATTCGGCAAGCAATGAGAGTTTTATCAAGACCATTATGACTGGAGTCGACAGACGAATGCTGGATCGCAATAGGGGGAATCCAAAAGTCTCTCGTTTCTATGTCGAAGTCCACAAGTTCATTCTATGTGCTGGTAGAAGCTTCGGTTTTGGTGCCAGGGCAATTATATATGCAAAAAAGCAGATGGCCACAGAATCAGAAGTATTAGTTCCCAGTACTCAGTCGCTAAGCTAAGGGATGTCTGTAGTTCAGCAATGAAGTCTTAGTAAAGGACGAAGGTGAGACCGAGTGCAAGCCGAGTGGGGACAAATCTGGTCCCGGCTATTATCGGCCGATGACGACTGCTTATTCCTGCTACTTTAGTGGTACCTGGATTTCGTCGTTTTGGCAGCCCTCATCGAGTAAACTAAAGTACAGCTGGCGCTGCAGTGTCCCAACCTGCTTGCAAAGGTCTTTCCACGATCCTTACGGACAAAATGACAGAATTCGAGTAACGACGGATGTGACCTGCCATCATGGAATTATCAGCTCTGGATGAAACAAGGGGAAAGGGTCAGACTTTGCAGGTACTGATGCGATACATCGACAAAGATAGGCCAAAGGCAGAGCGGCGCTGTCGCTTGCGCCAGAGTTCTTCTGGTCGACCTGGATGCCAAGGCCTGGCATGGATGGATATGTGGCAATTTGAATGACTACGATTAACAGCATACCTTTTACATTGGTACCAAACTCCATCATCGCTGTGTCGAAACAAATTCAGAGACCATGCCTTCAACTTCACCCTCCTCTGCATCGACAACATTATTTCTCTGACACTACGTCCGCCATGTATGAGTGACGGTTCATGGTAAACAAAGAAAACCGTACCTGGTACATAGCGGTCCAGTATCCAGCCCAGTACATTGCGTTGACTGCCCTTGTAAATGCCTCATCCTGCGAAACTGTCTCTGCAGGTGGCTGGGGAGGACTGGACGATGCATCAGTAACCAAGTCTTCTCCTGAATTTAGGGAGGCATCATGAGATGGAACGAATGTCTTGAAGTCGATGGATTTCGAGTCGTCGTCATCTGCCTCGTCGTCGTCGTCGTCTTCCTCTTCCGGGAATGACAAATTTTCAGTGTCGTCTTCTTCAACCTTTGAATCATCACTAACGGGGACATTGTACCATCTGTGATGTATTATAGAGGTAGTTTCGTAGACATGGATAATACGCATACAGTGGTGACCTTTTAGTAGGATTTGTCTTCAAGGCAGTATCACCCCCATGATAGGCCTGCACGCGTTTGAGAAAACGAAGCTAAGGATTAAAGAGATGCCATACCGCATACTCTTCATGGACGGCCTCCCATGCATCAATAAGCACAGAATCGTTCCAAATTTCGGCATGAGTGAGCTCTCTACTATGCTCAAATGCAACAGAGGCATTTCCGTTCGTTTTGGGTTTCTTTGCTGGCGGCCGTGAGTCAGTATTCATGGATGAATGAGGATCTGGGACGATATCATCGTAGGATACGACTGGTCTCATGGGAAGGTAAATAGCCGGCGGCAATTTCCAGATACTCGTTTTAGGCTCTATTTGGCAACCAAGGCCTTGGCAAGGTCAATGAAAATCTGGGAGAAAACGTTCACTTATTCACTTTTGCGTTGTTTTTCTTGACGGACATGGTCCTGATTCGCTGGCCGATTACGACTTTTGTTGAAACCAAGTTAAAAATTAACGTGAGACACGAACTCAGCTCAAAACTTGTGGGGCATTCAGTCAATGATACTATCCACTAGATATATGTCCAGTCCAACAACTTATAAACATAGTCTTAAAGATGAAACGAGAGAAGTATCACAGTCCGACCAACGAGGGAGCGAAATTAATCTAAAGGAACCATATATTGGGTATCATTCGTTGTCACGTTTGCGGGAAGATTGTAGTAGATCGGGCAAAGGTCGTACCAACTCGCTTGAAACGTACGTGTCAGCCTTTACCGTATCCTAAATCAAAGTATGATGCGTGATGACCCACCTGGAATGTCTGAATTTACCTCCGCCACTTCGGGGATGGCTTCAGCAAAAACGATAGCCATACCACTAGAATTTAATTTTAGGTGATAAGAATCGCAGAGGAGGAAATGAAACGCGCGCGTCGAGGTGGAATTCAATGTGGCTATCAATACTGTTTCAGAGCATGCGTATCATGAGGGTTAGATGTGCGCACCAGTGCAAGAACCAAGGCCCTGGATTATCAGTCCTGAATCGAATCGTTGTCAAGTTGCCCTCGGCAACGGGAGTGGTATCTCTGCGGGCCTAAGATTTTGGCATTATCGGCATACACATAACCGTGAGCGTGGCTTTAAGACGGACCGGATTCTTGAAATTGTAAGTATCGCTATCCATGCTTTTCACGACGTCAAAGCTATGCTGTAAATGCATTCAGTCGAACGAATCCGTGCTTGATTTATGAGAGAAGCTTACGCCATGGAGATGGAACGGATGCTGGGAAAGTGCAGTTTCAGTACTAGGTTGAAAGGAGGAATGGAAGAAGAACGTACAGGTCCATCGATCGCTTGTCCGCCAAAGATATTAACCTCAATAGTCTTGTTCAGCGGTAATCCGTATACAGAACCTGGGGGTAACAAATCCTGCGCACGCTGAGTACCGCTCAAGATCTGGAGTAGTACGGGAACAGTGGGCGGTACGAATTGGACACCATTTATTAAGAAGACGTTAGTAGCATTGTCAACGGCGAGAGTGAGATTGAGTACGACATCCGCCCCACCGGGATATGGCTCTCCAGGGGCTCCAGGAGATTCCAGTGGATGCAAATCTACCTCGCGCGGGGAAATAATATGCTGTTGTATCGAAGTCGTCGGCTCGGAATTAGCTGCACCTTGATATCTCAATATAGCAGAGTTGATCCCGTTCTCGAACCCGAGATTCCCAGCATCAGGATTGGCCCGAATCCAGTAGTTATCAACCGGTTGATTGGTCTCCAATATAATTGAGAATCTCTGAGCAGCGAATATCGTAAGCGAATTGGCCGTGATGGGCTGAAGATTGATGCCGTCCGTTTCGATGACAGTGAAATTATGACCGTCAATGGAGAATTGAAAGGCGGCGTTGCACGATACAGAAATCAGTCGTAGCCGATAACGTTTGTTTGGAGCGACGGTCATAACAAAGAGAGGAGCTGTGGGCTATGCATGGAATGTCCCTTGAGCAACGCCTTGGGAAGAACGATAATTAACTTACATCTTGATAGTATCTACCCATACCATTGATCAGGGTGGAATCAGGATCCGGCGTCACTGTCGTATTGATTATGGCTGGCGTTGGCAAATGATACCTAGAAAATATCCCATGTAAGAAAATACTAGACTCAGTCCTCGTCTCACAGACTCACCAATCTGATATTACAAGGATGGTGTTTTCTGTAAGATAAATCAGTACGGCTCTGATCGATCCAGAATAGATATACCGACCATCATCGACATCATACAAGGACCGATGAGGGTCATTCTGACCATCCACTCCATCATACACGATGAAAGGCCCGACCTCCCCATCACAATATTGAACGGAGAGGTGCGAATGGTACCAAAACGTCCCAGCCTGGTCCGGAACGTGGAAGTCATACATGAACGACTTGTTCTGCGCGATTGGACACTGCGTAACAGAAGTAGAACCATCTTCGAAGTTGGTCGTATGTTGGTGGATACCGTGCCAGTGCTGAAGAACATGAGAGGCGGGAAGGTGGGGCGGAGAAACGCACTTACAATACTAGTATCGAGAGCCATGGTATGGTCCGTCAATTCATCGATGACGTTGATTTGGAAGCTGCCTCCCTAACAATATCTTAGAACATATACCGTCAAGTAGATATCCTAAACCACCTTGATACCACTTATCGCAGGTCCCGGCAACGTTCCGCCTGGAAGGACCGTCCTACTGATAGTCAGCACGCGTACTTCTAGGCAGAATTCGTGCACCTACGAACGAAGGAATCCATCTGGAGCAAGTTCTTTGTTGACAATAGGTAGATCTCCCGAAGAACCAAGGACTTCAAGCGACCTTACTGACAGAATAAGACAGAAGAGAGCTAGCAGAAATTCAAGCATGATCAATGAGTCTGCTGAACCAAAGAGAAAGGACGATAGAGTAGAAGATGAGGCAAAAACGGCTCACCTTCGAAGCTCTTTATAGTAAGTGTATGTTAAAAATAGTGCTGTTCGAGAGCGATAGTCACACCTGGAATATCTATGCCTGTGAACGCGGGGAACAATAATGTATAAGCAAACGTAGCTGCAAGCTAATAGAAGGAATGAAGTGATCGTGATAACGCTGCGCGTTTACCTGTTCGGGAATGGCCCCAAAACACGATACTAGTCCATCTAGGACGCTGCCAGTCGTGATGCTCACCCACACGTATGTGAAAGGAGGTAAAGACAACGAAAATCCGCCATGAAACAGGACGGCGGCTATGCTTTAATACATTATTGATGAGTACTTTGATGCTAAATAGAGCGTACCTGAGGATCACCTCATGACTGAGCTAGAATGATGCCCAGTGGATCCCATTCAAATTCCGGAGCCAATAGCAAGCAGAGAATTTGTCATCAATACATGTCAACCCTGGGAATAGCTGTCGTATCAAAAGATCATTGGGAAAGAACGCCCGTCTTGTGATTCCAAGACTGTATTGTAGAATAATGAAACTTCTATCTTTTGCAGCCGGCACAGAGATACATATGAAGAACAACCTTCTAGCGACTGGAATTCATTTCGAAAACCAGGGTGGGGCGTGAAGCCGAGGCTCCTCCGGCGCTCTGCCCGTTGATAGTCACCCTCGACGGATCCCCGCCGAACGCTCGTATATGTCGCTTGACCCATTTGAGGGCCTGTGTCTGGTCAAGAAAGCCTACGTTGAAGTCTCCATTGGCGGTGTCTGAGAATTCCGAGATAGCGAGGAACCCAAAGGACGAAAGACGGTAATAGATGATGACGATGACGACGTTAAGGCTTTGATGGACCCAATGGTCGAATGGAAAGGTGGCCGGGTTGCCGTAAACGTAGGATCCTCCATGGATATAAACAAGTACGGGTACTAGAAGGGCATCGTTAGCAATGTTTCGCATGCTGTCGAGATGCCTACAATTGCTTCCATTGACGGGTGAATAAATGTTAACATTCAAACAGTCTTCACTACCTGCGCCTCCTGCGTCACCGACTGAAATATAAAATGGTGCCTCAGACTCAAAACTACTTGAAAGGACTAGCATGTGGCACACATACCCAGAGTAGACCCCTGGACACAAAAGTCGGGGTAGAATGTCGCATCGAAGATAGCACCATTCGCTTCTAGTGCGATTCGCGCAGTGTTCAAAGGGATGGGTGCACGAAACCGACGGTCACCGAGAGGAGGTTCTGCATAGGGGATACCAAGATATGCGACAGTGTCGAGGTACGAAAGGTTGCCACGGTACTTTGCGTATCCAGTATCGACGATGAGCCTACCGTTCGCGAAAACAAGAAATTTGGCAAGCAATGAGAGACATGCGACAAGCATTGAGAGTTTTATCAAGACCATTATGACTGGAGTCAGCAGACGAATGCTGGATCGCAATAGGGATATTCCAAAAGTCTCTCGTTTCTATGTCGAAGTCCACAAGTTCATTCTATGTGCTGGTAGAAGCTTCGGTTTTGGTGCCAGGGCAATATATATGCAAAAAAGCACTGATGGCCCCAGAATCAGAAGTATTAGTTCCCAGTACTCAGTCGCTAAGCTAAAGGATGTCTGTAGTTCAGCAATGAAGTCTTAGTAAAGGACGGAGGTGAGACCGAGTGCAAGCCGAGTGGGGACAAATCTGGTCCCGGCTATTATCGGCCGATGACGACTGCTTATTCCTGCTACTTTAGTGGTACCTAGATTTCGTCGTTTTGGCAGCCTTCATCGAGTAAACCAAAGTACAGCTGGCGCTGTAGTGTCCTAACCTGCTTGCAAGATCTTTCCACGATCCTGGCAGATAGCTCAGAAAAGGTAACAGATCTAGAGGAGGATGCGCTCCAGGTTCCGGTGCGTGATTCCATAGAGGATTCACTGTATAAAATGCCTTCGCTTCTGGAAATTCGTAGCGCGGACAACGCTTTCCATATAGTACGGACAAAATAACAGAATTCGAGTAATGGCGGATGTGAGTAAAGAAGGCCTGTCATGGAATTATCAGCTTTGGATGAAACAAACGGAAAGGGAGTACAACCTACTTCAGGTGATCGCAAAATGTCGTACATGAGCTCCGCGGCCTCCGCCTTCTGAATGACCAGATGTTGTAGTGAGAGCTGTGTAGCCAGCATCGTGTGAGTTGCCTTGCGAAGCGCTCGCCATACTTCTGCTACGTCAATGGAGTATCAGTAGATGCATATTGTCAATGACCTTGACTGACAGTTTCCCACTAACACTATACTTAAACCACCGGTAATCAGTGTCCCCATGTAGTGGGGCGGTCTATCTGAGCATCCGCATAGCCTGCACAGCGCAATGCTATGTGTTTTGGTGTGAAACCCTGCCCGTCTTTGCGACGTGTGTTATTGCGGAGTGACGTGTCATGTCGTCGGCGAGTCAACATCGTGTTTGGGAGGAAAGGCGTCAAGAGTCGTCTTGCGAGGCATGGTGGCGTCTCGCGTCGATGATGGTAGTATAAAGAGGGTAACTGTGGGAAGATATTCCCGATTAATGCTTCCGACGAAATTCCGCTGTTTCCGCTGTCCCGCCCCCACTCGCTCCCCAAAGTTAAGGTGAAGAGCATGTGTCCGATTTGATCTCAGGCAGAATACGTTGGATAAGCATGCTGTGTTGACATCCTCGACATCCTCCGTCCCGCGTATACCGGTTGCTGCCCTGTTCATTATATACAACCTATGGTAAGGATCCAACCGGGAAGTTGCCTGATGCATTCATCTACCGATGATCTCCTGAATAAGTGTGATAGAAATAGGACTCGGTTTTGCCACCATATGAGCTGGCCCTCAAGGCCTCACCCGCTAGTCAAATATGCCGGTCCTCTTCAAGTGAATTCAAAGGATGTACACTCGTTCAGAAAATGTTGACTCAGATGGTTTGTTATTGCAAGTTTCCTGGCATGGATACTGTTGGAGAGACCAGGAGATCCCACGACAATCTTCGTTTAACGCGGTCCGGGTTACGTCACTAGACGTTGAGAGCAGTCCGAGCACGCGAGGACAGCGCTCATAAGGTGCTGACTAAGCGGCGAGAGATCGTTTCACATCTTCCTCTCGCAGTCAGCACCGCCAATCTTCCAATTCGTTACCCTCCCACCCACCCTTGAGTCTTGATTCTGAGGGAGTGCATCTTCCTCTGGAATCTCACTCACGAGACAAATAAGTGCACCCAAGTAACAGGTGCCAATTCGTTATGACGAAGTCTTGTGACTTGTTCTCTTATTCTACAGCTGCTAATACATCTCTCTATTGCCCATAAATGTCACAATCAGCCACCGGTGCTCCTGTGAACCCAGGGTCAGGTCCAATTGGCACGATTAACCCAAAGTCTCTGCCGAAAAGTTCTGAGGATATCACCCTTGATAAGCTATGGGCGAAGATGAGCAAGGAGGTGGCTATGAGAAACATGAAAAGAGCAGATAGACGAAAGGAATTGATGGTGCAGGGGAAGGATCCCAAGGATGTCTCAGACGACAAAAAGGATGAGTCTGATGTTCTCATTCACACCGTGCGTAAGGCAGTAGAAGCCAAAGCGGCATCGGCATCTCTGGTGAAGGCTGCTGCCACTATTGCTTCATCTACCACCACTGCAACATCCATGGACGCCACACTTTCGACGTTTTTCTCTGATGCCATGACAGAGAAGAACAAGACGGCCTATAATCCTAATGACATTGCCTTCTACGAGGATTACAAGGCACTTTTGGTTTACAAGATTTCAATTCCCTTGTCCATGTTTCACCCATCCTATTTACATGCGTTGCAGTACTCTGACGACTCTCTCCCTCGGATCAAGATTACTTGAACTAGATCAGACGGTACCAGCAAGAACTTCAGTGTCCTCAACATATCCAGAGCACCAGCTGAAGCCGACTTAAACAGGGCTGACTTCCTCATGTGCTACAACAATCTTCTCGAGTTTTTCACTGATATAGGCTGTGGACTGTGAACTCTTCAAGGCCTTAATGAACATCTGCACACAATGTTAACTGATCCCAATTTTGCTATGTGGTTTGAGGCATACAAGTCTTTCGACTGAGATTTCTGGGTGAAGTTCTTCAAGGATCCCTTCATACCTGATCCTTCTGCGAAGTCTTGGTCAGATGGAGTGCAGACTGCGAAGGACAATTACCTCCTCAGACAACGGGAAACTCAAGTTGCAGGAAATGGAGGCCAGGACAGATGAGATAAAGGGAATGGAGGGTATACAAACAAGCAGTTTAATCCTTACGATATGACTCAACGGGATAACGCTAGTCGCTCCAGTTCCTTTCAGCCCTTATGCCTTAGATGTGGCCTCATTGGACATTATGTGGACTCCTGCATGGCAGCAACACCTAGTAAAAGCGGACGGTTCTTTCTTGTTGAGTGGAGGGACAATTCACTCCTTCAAATCTCAGATCACAAGCTTGTCTGTGTCCATTTTAACCTCACAGTCTGCAGAATCGAGCCTTCCATCAACCACGGTATCCATATGTGCTCCTTGTGTGCCGACACTCACCATGGAGCGACAAAATGCACTTGTAACTGAGGCACATAAAGTTGTCACCCCATACAAACCTTCGGGATGGTGACACGCCCTTCAAAAGTATAATCTATTGGACAAGTATCCGAATCTAGTCTTCGATATTGCTTATAGTTCCCCCATTGGTAACTCTCCTCCTCTCACTTCTACTTTTCTACCCCCCGAATATGCCTTCAGCTGAAGCTAATCCTGAAATCATTGAAAATTACTTACAAGACGAAATTGCAGCTGGACGAATGGGAGAAGGATTGAGTGTTGAAAAAGCTCACGTGTTCTTTGGAGGTCATTTCCGTACAGCACCAATGGGTGTTGTGTTTGACCAGCAAAAGCCATGGATCATCCATAATCTATCTGCTCAGGATCCTGAAGGTTCTTCTACGAATTCCTGGCTCAATGCAAAAGACTGGCTGACACGTTGGTATACGGCAAGCATGTATGAAGAAGCGGTGAGTGTCTGACTTATACTGACTGGATCTGGTGGAATGGATATGCACGGAAGTGCTCACATGTGACCCACATGTTCTGGTGGCATGGCTCATGCCTGGTGAGTATTACGATTTTACACTTTATCTTATCTTATCGCTCTCATCGTAATCCTGCTATGCTAGTTTTCCGGACTTGATCGCATTCACCATGCAGGTATTGTGCGCTTAACGCACCGTTGCAGACACTTGTAGTATATTTAGCATGACCCAAACTGTATTTAAGTAGCTCGACTGCAGGTCCTAAACCTCAGTCTCGAACTAAAGTTTATTCACCCGATAACCTAGTCTGAACTCACTCTCGCTAAACTAAGCGGAAGCTCCCTGCACGCAAACCTGCGAGCAACATAAAGCGCCTGACTGAAGTGCAAGTCACGCTTAGTTGTTTGATCTTGTTTGTGTAATCGGTCGCTAACAATTAGTTCGAGACTTTCTTACTCTTCATCAACGACTACGTTGGAGAACAGTAACGAATGAACCCCATCGAACAGTACCTCACCGACCTTTTCGGACTTCAAGGCTTTATTGCCGTAGCATACCTCGCATTCCTATATGGATACGAGTACCGATGAAACCAGGAGCCAGACTCCGAAGAAACTATCCCCGTCGAAGCCCCCAACCCGGAGGCTGAGCGACCGCACACACCCCCTCCCAACTACATTGACGACAGACCCGACCCAATCATCCACTTCATCTTTATCACAGACAACGAGTGGATCACAGAAGACTCCAACACAAGCGAGTCCAGTGAGTCCGACACCGAGGTGGAAGGATGGCCTGCACAAAGAGGCCCAGTCGTTGAAGAAGAAGAAGAGCGAGGAATCTACGAGCAAGGGATGGACCAGTGTGTTCTCTCTCCCATTACCGAGGAAGAAGACGAAGGGGAAAGCGAAGGAAGCGACCTCTGGGACACCCCTTCACCCACCTCCACAGAAAATTCAGCCGCCAACCCTGGATATGATTCCTACGGACAGCGCCTCTATCAAAGAGGGCTTAGATATCATTTGGGAGAAAGAAGAGAGGCTGAAGATGGAACTGGAAGCAGTTCAGATGAGGAAAGCAGCGATACAGAGGAGGACCATGATAGCGACGAGCTCCCAGGGCCACGCAACGACTGGTCCCCTCCAAGGCTGGACTCCAGAGGAGAAACATGGGGCCACTACTACGCCCGCAACGACTCATCAGACGACGAGGGAAGTTACCTCGACCTTATCACCCGCCCGAACACCCCAATCATCATCAACGATCGGGCCAGGGAAGCCACTACCGAGCTCGACAGCTGCGGACCCACATATGACGCCGACGCCAGCTGCGATGTATGCAGACAAATACAGGACTACGCCGACGCATGGCTCATGTACGAAGGAATCGAAGCCCCTGCCTCCGTCGTCCCCTTCGCCATCTACCCACTCGCGCCAGAACACCCCCACGCAGCCCCTATCCCCTTCGTTGCACCCTGGGTCTGGGATAGACCCCGAAGACCAGATTTCGAACAGATCGTACTCAGGGTCGATGAGTGGTCCAGAATCATTCGAAACTGGAACCGTATCGTCACAGGAAGTACGGAGCCTTTCGAGCGAGTCCGACCAATCGGAATTAGAAGAAGGAGAAATCTACGAGAACCCTGGAACAGGGCGGACTTCGACTTACAGCAGCAGCATAGACACGGAGAATACGGAGAGGAGGATGTTATCCCGGAATTCGTGGAAGGATCTAGCTCGGGAACCTACTGAGGCCGAGTTAGAAAATATGACATATTTGGAAATGCTGCGATGGACGGAGAAGAAGTTACCACGAGAGCTATCATGGAATAGCTCGCCGCAAGGAAGGTACTTCCAGAAGGAGAAAGATTCAGTAATTGGCGCCCAGGTGATTTACAGAGAAACAGTATTTCACACCAACGGGTTGTGGAATCAAGTACACCCAGACGATTACACGGACCCCGGGGAACGGTACCAGGTACCTGCCCCATCAGAAACATCGAGCGGAAGTACGGTGGACCTGAGCCACCTATCAATTCTCCGAAGAACAGGGTACGTCGACCCTAGCTGATTATTCGCCGCCGCAGGAACCCCAGGAAGTGCAGGCGCTGCAGCTGCGGCACCAATACCACCCGCAGCACCAGTCCCTGCACCACAAGGCCCTTTAACCCCGCATCACAACCCTGCACTACGATCCCTACCACGTCCAGCAGCAATTCCTATCCCCGCTGACCCAGTACAACCCCCGAACACGCCACCCCCATTCCTAGTCGGAGTGGCAAACACAAACCCATGGGGACAGGTGAAACCGCAACTGGTGGATCCTCCCGAGAAGTTCAAGGGGGAGTCCAACGACGTAGATCGCTTTCTCAACCAATGCGAAGACTACTTCAACGTATTCCCGCAGCAGTTCACCATGAATTCCCATGGGCAAAGCCCAAACAGGGTGGTGTTCTGCACGTTCCGACTCGCAGAAAAAGCATTGCATTGGTGGAATCACGCTAGGGACGAATATTACGACGAAGTATGCGGATACCTACGATATCCCGCATGGCCCGCATTCCGACAGATCATAGAAGACCAATTCCGGACGGATGCCGAAGTAGAACTCAAACTGCAGGAGTTTAAACGACTCCGTCAGAACACGTACAAATCGGCAAAGGAATTCTTCCGTGATTTCAAGCGTCTAGCCAAGGAATCCGGAAAACGCCACAACGAGGAGTATATGATCGAAATACTCAAGCCAGCCATCCGAAAGAACATCAAGATGGCTATTCATGCCACAGGCACCGTGTTACCCCGCACCTACGCGGAATGGAAATTCCGGGTAGAACAAATGGACTACAACTACCGTGTGGGACTAGCGGAGGATGCCGGCAGAAGTCAAGGAATGCAGGGTCAGCAAAACAAGGGAACGGGAAAAGCCGGAAGTTCTGGGAATTCCCAAAGTGATAAGAAGACAAGCACGGGCACCACGTACGGGGGCCAAGGGCAACCAATGGAGATAGACCGACTACGGAAGGAAGGACGATGTTTCCGCTGCAGTCACAAGGGCCATCGGAAGCAAGACAACAAGTGCCCTAAGGACGAAAGTACGTGGCTCGTCAAGCATCAGCCCAAGTTCTCGAGAGCCCAAATTCGCGCAATGTATCAGCAAGTACTCAAGGAAGAGGAAGGAGAGGCCTCCACATCGAAAGTCGAGGAAGTAAAAGACGAGCCGGCGGCGTAGGCGACAAACGCGCGTCGGCAACGGACATAATTTCATTTAGTGGTGCGTCACAGAATCCCGCAGGTCGGACTAATGTACCGCATGTAGTATCTCGAGGCAATGACAAATCTTTCACGCTATCACAAAATGAAATTATCAAGTCGCATAAAAAGGAGGACGGTGTACAGGGGATTTCCACCGTGCTCGAAGAAGAACCCCATTCAAGATCCTTGGCCACCGGTGCGAAAGCACAAGCGGCACATGCTGCGCAAGGCGGCGGGACCCACGGGATCAAGGTCAACATCGCTCCGTGGAGGGTAGGTACCGGCGCAGAAAACGGAGGAAGAGCGGCCGAGCCAGTAGTGGGCGAAGGCACCTCCAGGCGGGAGAGGAACGATGCAGGGCCTCGCCTGAAGGCAGAACGTACGCACCTGCCCTATGCGGCCAACTACCCCGACACGACGGAGCCGCAAGAGGGAACGCGAATCCCCATCAAGCAAACCGCTGCCCCGCAAACAACAGTCAAGACAATCGGGGACATCATTCATTTTCCCCCGATCACGGTGCGTCTCCCTTCATCATCGCTAACACATAATGGCACCGGGGGCTTGTGTTCCCCGGTGGGCGGGTCGGTGGGACCATTATGTGCACCTCCTATTTGTAATAAAAAAAACGTTTCTATCGAAGAAGTGCCTGATGAGGAAGATGATTACAGTTACCAACAAAGTCGCAAGTCACAAGGGGAAGACCCGGTGATACACACCGAGGAGTACCCGGAAGATTACGAGGTAACCGAATTAGAGGAAGAATATTACAATGACAAATGGGACAAAGGGTGGCTCAAACCACATAGCGCTGAATGGGTACGCCGAAAAATGAGGCAAGAAAAGACTATGGATGGCAGGCTCGCTACCCTACGAATGTGGGTACACCCCAGACGTCTCATAGAGGTGGATGAAGATCTCGTACTAGATCTCATCGGATCCTCTAAAGAAACCTATCGCCAACGGGAACAGTGTTTACAAAACATGGAAGACCTACGTGTGCCCCCGCAATACATTCGAGGAGGAAAAGGGAGGAGCGTCAACATCCATGTACAACTCGAAACCTTAGACACCGCTCAAACACGAGCAGTCGACGCCCTGGTAGACAGCGGATGCACCGGGAGCTGCATAAATCGAGCGTTCGTACAAGAACAACAGATGAACACGGTCAAACTACCAAAGGCACAGGCTGTGTACAACGCCGATGGAAGCAGGAACAAAGGAGGAGACATCACAGAAGTAGTGGAACTACGCATGATGATTGGAGACCACAGTGAAAAAATTGACCTAGCCGTCGTAGACCTGGGAACCATACCCTTGTTCCTAGGACACGACTGGCTCAAGCGCCACAACCCAATCATCGACTGGAAAACCGAGGCAGTAACCCTAGCCAGATGTTCATGCTGCAAAATACCTTTCCTACTCCCAGATGAAGATCCCGAACAGCAATGGGGAACAGAGATAGAAGAGGGAGATACCATCCTCGTCATAGACTTTGAGGAAGCCTTTCATGTTCGGGCCATGGGGAGTAAGGCCAATGAACTAGCCGCCAAAGCCAATCAAGCCAAGGAAGCAAAGACGTTCGAAGAAATGGTACCGGAACCGTACCGGGAATTCCACGACGTATTTGCCAAAGAAAACTTTGACGAGCTACCACCACGAAAACCATGGGACCATGCCATTGAGCTAATCCCGAATGCTAATGCGAGCCTGGACTGCAAAGTATATCCATTAAACCCCGCCGAGCAGGAGGAATTGGACAAATTCCTGGACGAAAATCTAGAATCAGGAAGAATCCGACCCTCCAAATCCCCTATGGCATCACCATTCTTCT